ATAGGAAAGCCAAATAGCATTGCATACACCTGGGGAGAAGGAAAGTTTTAGGGGTTGGATCAGACTTCCTCCCTTTTTTAATTCACTGACCAATCAGTTGAGATGGGAGTGCAGGATCTGTTGCACTTGTAACACCTGTGGTATGTTTGTTTTCTTGCCAATGAGGTGCCTGGGTAGAAATGCTCTAAGTGTTAGTTGGTGTTCCTCTTGGAAGACAAGGTCTGGAAGCTGGAGCCTGAGTTCTAATTTCTGCACTCTTAGGGAGCAGGCCAGGTAGGGGGGCCTTGTCAGCCTTGGAAGGCAGCCTATCTAGGAGAAGGAAAACTCTGATTTCAAACCTCCACTGACTTGTGGCTATATCCACTGATGGCTTCAGGAGTTAACCTCGAGGCAAAATCTGGAACCAGAGTCCTGGAGGCAGTTTGTGTCGTTCTGGCAACTCCTGTGACATTGCTGGAACCAGTTGTATTGGCTCTTGCCTTTCCATTGGACTATTTTGCTGACATGGAGAGGGGGATTTTCTGCTTGGGTAACAGCCTGTCCTCCATATTACTTTACCCAGGCTTCATGCTCTGGAGAGAACATTCCAGCTTTGCATACAGCGTCGAAACAACATGGGATGTAGCAGTTACCAGTTATAAGTCTTTGCTCGATTGACGTAGAGCATGATGCTAGGGCTACTTCTGACGGTGGGAGAAGTCATTGCACCTCACTAGGTAGCTACCACCTGCCTTAAGCTGGGCAGTCCCCAGCCAGTAAGGTGCTACTCACCATAGTCTGTGCATGGGGTTTAGAGTGAAAGCCAACAAGCAGACCAATAACCCTGCACCATGCAACAATCATAAGAAAACTTCTGCCCTAAAGTTGGGCACCTGTAGTGTTCAGACAATGACCCCTGGCTTATCTGACAACTGCAGGAAATAGACTACGTGCACAAGACAGCTATCATCGACATGAAACTGAGTAGACTGCAGATGGACATGTTGCCCTGCAAGAGACGAGATTGCCAGACATGGGATCAGTCAAAACAACAACAACAACAACAACAACAACAACAACTACTACTACTACTACTACTACTACTACTACTACTACTACTACTACTACTACTACTACTACTACTACTACTACTACTACTACTACTACTACTACTACTACTACTACTACTACTACTACTACTACTACTACTACTACTCGTTCTTCTGGTAGGGAAAACCATTGAATGAGACCAGGTGACATGGTGTTGGCTTTGCAGTCAGAAATACTCTACTGAGATCCATTGTTCCAACTACTGTGGGAAGTGAAAGAATCCTGTCTCTGGAGCTCCACTCATCAGCGGGACCAGTCACGCTCATTAGTGCATATGCACCAACACTGTCATTTACAACAGAAGTCAAAGAAAAATTCTGTAACAATATGACATCTACTATCAAAAAAATCCCCAAGAGAGAACCACTATTCATTCTCGGAGACTTTAACTCTAGAGTTGGTGCTGATCACAACTCTTGGCCCACTTCTCTAGGCCATTTTGGCATTGGGAAGATGAACAAAAATGGCGAACGCTTGCTGGAGTTTTGCTGCTATTCTGGTCTTTGTGTCAGCAACACGTTCTTTAATATGAAGCTTCAACACAGAGTTTCCTGGAGACATCCAGGATCGAAGCATTGGCATCAGCTTGATTTGATCCCCACTAGACCTTCCAGCTTTCCTAGTATTAGCAAAGTCCAACAGTCTGCCAGGAGATGTTCTAATGATTATTGGCTTAAGCTCTGCTCTCAGATACAGATAGCAGCGGACACAGGTAACATCAAGGGAATGTATGATGGTATCAAGCAGGCTTTAGGTCCAATGCAGAAGAAATCAGCTCCCTTGAAGTCTGCTACAGGTGTGATCATCCAGAACCGAGCGCAGCAGATGGAATGCTAGGTGTAGCACTACTCTGAGAGAATGTAGTAACTGAAGAGGCATTAAATAACATTGAGTGCCTGCCTGTCTTCGAAGGTTTGGACAGTCAACCAATCTTAGCAGAAATAAAAGCAGCCTTGGATTCCCTCGCCTCTGGCAAGGCACCTGGGAAGGATTCTTGCTGAAGTGCTATAAAGAGATCATCACCACCAAGCTGTATGAAATATTTTGTCTTTGCTGGAGGGAAGGTGGAGTACAACAGGACATGAAGGATGCAAACATCTTCATATTGTATAAGAACAAAGGAGACAGGGGCAACTGCAATAACTACGGTGGCATCTCTCTTCCCAGCGTTGTACAGAAGCTGCTTGCCCGTGTTGTACTGAAGAGACTCCAGGTGCTTGCAGACAGAGTCTATCCAGAATCACAGTGTGGATTTCGAGCTAATAGATCCACCACTGACATGGTATTCTCCCTCAGACAGCTGCAGGAGAAAGGTAGGGAACAATGACAGCCACTCTTTGTGGCCTTCATAGATCTCACAAAGGCCTTTGATTTGGTTAGCAAGGACGGCCTTTTTAAAATACTTCCCAAGATTGAATGTCCACCTTGACTCCTTAAAATCATCAGGTCCTTTCATGAGGAAATGAAGGGCACTGTAGTTTTTGATGGCTCAACATCAGATCCTTTTGACATCCAAAGTGGAGTGATACAGGGCTGTGTCCTCCTGCCGACCCTGTTTGGGATCTTTTTTGCTGTCATGCTGAAGCACGCCTTTGGAACTGCAACAGAAGGTGTCTATCCCCGGACTAGATCAGATGGAAAGCTCTTTAATCTCTCTAGATTGAGAGCGAAGACCCAAGTCCAACTGAAATTCATGTGGGATTTCCTCTTTGCTGCTGATGCAGCTGTTGTTGCACCCTTTGTGCATGGCAGGAGAGGAAGCTGAACACCTTCCATATCCATTGTCTCCAATGCATTTTTGGTATCACCTGGCAGGACAAAGTTCCAATAGAGTAGTCCTAGAATGAGCTGGAATTTTTAGCATGTATACATTATTGAAACAGTGACGTCTATGTTGGCTTGGGCATGTTGTGAGAATGGCTGATGATCGGATTCCAAAAGATCTCCTGTATGGAGAATTAGTGCAGGGAAATCACCACAGAGAGTGACCACAGCTGCAATACAAGGATAGCTGCAAGCGGGATCTGAATGAACCTCAACAGATGGGAAACCTTGACATCTGAGTGTTCAGCCTGGAGGCAGGTGGTGCATCACAGCCTCTCCTGTTTTGAAGAAACCCTTGTCCAGCAGGCCGAGGCAAAGAGGCCGTCCCAAAAGCAGCAAAATCAGGGAGCTGGACAGGGGACAGACTGTATTTGTCTTCAGTGTGGATGGGATTGTCACTCTCGAATTGGCCTTCTCAGCCACACTAGACACTGTTCCAAGTCCTCCATATAGAGCATGTTTCCATAGCCTCTCGAGACTGAAGGATGCCTAATCTAATATAGCCACAGCTAATGTAGATGCTGGTAGTGCAACAATCTTAGTGCCTTTCTTTGATAAACATTTCATAAACATTTCAGTACACCTCAGGACATAACTCTTGACCTGCCTTCTTGCTGTGGAACACAACTTCCATTGAGTGTATACGTACAAATACTGGCACAGATACAGAGTCATCTTGGATGTTGTACCATGTTGGAAGATTATTATAGACAGCAGAGGTTGCTTTGCACAGCTGCCCCTTTGATCTTGCGCATCTGCAGTGGGAAAGAAAGATTGTCCTTCACCCTGGGGTGGCCATGCCCTTCACTCCTTGACGATAAAGCTAGACTGCCTCCTTCCCTGAAATTTTATTTGAGAAATCAAGAATAAATGGCAACTGATTTTAAAAAGCCAACAGAACACTAAATAGAAGTCATTTTTATTTGCAGACAGCTATCATTTTCAGTTTGCTTTCCTTCTTAGTTTTTGAAGCCCTTGTCTTCCCGTACCTGTCTGGATACTAATAATAACAGCATAATGGCCATATTGCAGTACAGCTTTTTTAGTGACATTACATTCTAGTAGCTTTTGTTGTGCATGACTTTCGATTGTGCTGGTGCAACAAATATTAGGATTGGAACGTTAGGGTGGTTCCAGATGGTTTTCTTCTCCCTAGAGCAGTTGTAAATTGACTCTGCAGCTGCCCTAGGGAAGGCAGATGGCATCGTGCCAAGAAGCCTGTGCTGCAACAGAGAGCCAGACGGAAGCCTGGCACTATCCTTGTTCAAACCTCTGGCTTCTGTCTACTTTGGAGAGAGAGAGAGAGACTGAGCAGTGCTGAGACAGATGCCATTCTTTTTCTAACAAGGCTTTTGGAAAACAAGGTGCCTGATACCAGGTAAGAGAATTTCTATGTGTAGCCTGCTTCTGATTGGCAACATCTCTCTAAGGTTTCCGGTACAGAAAGCTCTTTCCCATCAGCTGCTCCTTGAGCCTTGTCAAGCCGGAACATGCTTCTGTAGAAAGATGGTGACAATAAAATAACATGTTTCTTTGGGATTTTATCAAGATTTTAGAAAAATAATCTATAAACCTCAAAGAAGCAAAGAGTTTCTCCTGTGTTTTCTGACATTCTCCTTTCATAGGCAAAATACAACTGGAATGGTTTCCAAGGCATAAAGGAACTGCTGAATAATAACATGAAAATTAAGAGATTTCACTCCTTCCTAGAACAAACCCCATTGACATGAGCATACGGGTCATTTTCTAACAGACCTAGGTACCAGTAAGATGACTTTTTGTTGTGAAATTCAAAAGATGCATTCACATCTGCACACATAGCTGTAAAGTGCGTGTTTTAACCTGTCTTTTCTGCAGCACATGCAAAAGGAGGTCACGTTGTTCCTGATCACCAGAATTAACCAGTGAAAATGGCTTATCAGTTTAGTCATCTTAAATTCAAAATTAAGTGCCACTTTAGATACCTTTTCTCCCAGTATCAGTAGCTTCCTCATTCTGACATTTTAATGCTATATTTTATAGCATTCTCTGCATTTCCCCCACTTTCTCCCCTTTTCGCATTCATATATAATATTTTATTGTTGCAGGAATGTTCTGTTGTGGACATGAATATGTGAATATGTCAAGTACCATATGCTGCTCAGCTTCCAGTGGTGAGTCTAAAGCCCACATTAAAAAGAATGACCCAGTGCCATTAAAATGCTGCGAGACTGAACTTATTCCAAAGAACGAGGAATGTTGTAATGGACTTGGATATAATCCTTTGAAATATGTTTGCTCTGACAGGATTTCAGTTGGAATGATGATGAAGGTAATTGATAGAAAACCTCTTGGTGGTTCTGATTTGACAATGGGAAGAGAAATACATTGTTCATAACTATTTTTGTAAAATAGGAATATAAAAACTCCTCTGTGCATTATTCATTTTCACATTACATCCATATTAATACCGAATGAGTTTGCCATGATTGATGTTATTGCAGTGAATTCTAAAGGAATTAATAATGATTAGCTGACTCTTGTGAAGTGTTTCTCAGCACTTCAGATTAGTAAAGCACAAAAAGTTTGTATTCCAACCTGGCTGGTGTGTGTATAACTACCTTACTGTATTTTTTGCACCATAAGACTCACTTTTTTCCCACAAAACAGGGGGGTGGAAGTAACTACCTTAGGTTGTGTGGTCAGTTTTTAATTCCTGGTGGTATGATTCTTAAACTTTAGTGTGTTAAGTGGCCCCCTGCCTCGGTCTCTTTATTCTCTGGTAACTGCCAGTTTTGTATAGCTACTGTTAGAAGTCCATAAAGCACAAAAAGTTTGTATTCCAACCTGGCTGGTGTGTGTGTAACTACCTTAGGTTGTGTGATCAGTTTTTAATTCCTGCTGGTATGATTCTTAAAATTTCGTGTGTTAAGTGGTAACTGACAGTTTTGTATAGCTACTGTTAGAAGTCCACTTGAAATGCTTCCAAATTAGGGCACAGATCCGTCCATCCTCTTGTGCAACTTTGCTGAATCTATGGTAAAGACAAATAAGGGGTGGATGATGCTGTTGGGTAGATAGGGATCAGTTTTTAATTCCTGCTGGTATGATTCTTAAAATTTCGTGTGTTAAGTGGTAACTGACAGTTTTGTATAGCTACTGTTAGAAGTCCACTTGAAATGCTTCCAAATTAGGGCACAGATCCGTCCATCCTCTTGTGCAACTTTGCTGAATCTATGGTAAAGACAAATAAGGGGTGGATGATGCTGTTGGGTAGATAGGCACTCCTAGTTATTTGGCAATGTGCTGTCTGTAATCTGCTGAGATGCTTCCACGATTGAACTGCCCTTTGAATGTATTTGAGGGGAAACATCGAAGATTCAATTGTTTTCAAAAGTGACTCAAAGTGTTTGGAACTGTTGTTTTAGATAAAAGAGGAATGCCAAGCTAGCACTCTGTGCCCCATATCTATGGAAGGAACAGCATACTGTGGGAGATGTGACTTTGACAAGCATGCTCATCTATGTGCTTGGGTGAAGAGCCCTTGGAGGGATACAAAAGAAGATGAAGGCATTTGCCCAACTGTGGAGGAGAAGGTCTATACAGGTGGCCCAAGTCAATATTCATTCACAGGTAAAAGAGAGTGTGATGGTGCTGGGGAAGAGAAATGTCACCTGCTTGGTTTAAAGTGTTAAGAGTGTAACTTATATCAAATGATTAAAAGTCATCATCAGTTTTTTTATATTATAACATAAAATGTTTGCATTTTGAAGTCCATGTGAAATAAGTAAGTCTGTTTGCTAGCACTGCTGGATAGCTCACTGGTTTAGGTATCTTGGAGGTTGGGAATTCGATTCCTTACTGTGCCTTCCTGATGGAGTCTAGAATTGATGATCCATAGAGTCCCTTCCAGCTCTTCTTCTTCTTCTTCTTCTTCTTCTTCTTCTTCTTCTTCTTCTTCTTCTTCTTCTTCTTCTTCTTCTTCTTCTTATTCTTATTCTTATTCTTATTCTTATTCTTATT